GGACGTGGCGGAGCTGCAGCTGCTGGAGGCGCGGCTGGGGCGCCTCCTGCTGGAGGCGCGGCCGCAGCGGCTGGAGGTGCTGCAGGGGCACCCCCTGCTGGGGGCGGCGGAGCGGCAGCCGCTGGAGGCGCTGCTGGAGGCGCTCGCAGGCGCGGCGGAGCTCGGCGAGGCGGCGCTGGAGCGGCCGCCGCGGCAGGAGCTGCTGCAGGAGGTGTTCCCGCTGGCGGAGCTGCAGGCGGTCCGCCTGGGGGGCCGGTGGCTGGTCACGACGAGGCTTGGTGCCCGTCGCAGGTGCTGCAGGGCCCCCTGCTGGCTTGGGTCCTGGAGTCGCTGGAGGCGGGGCCCCCTTTGGTGCTGGAGCTGCTGGCCTCGGAGTCGCCGCCGCTGGCGCTGCAGGTGCTCCAGGGCCGCCGCCTGCTGCTGCTCTCGGGCCCCCTGGTGGAGCAGCAGCGCTGGGGGGGCTTGTGCCGCCAGGCCCTGGCGGTGGCGCGGCCGCTGTCGTGGGTCACGGCGCCCTCGCGGGCGGAGCAGCTGCTGGAGCGGTGCCAAGCCTCCCACCTGGCGCTTTGGGCATCGGCGGCGTTGGCGGCGCTGGGGCCTGGCCGCTCCCAGGAGAAGGCCCCCTGGGTGGAGGTGCCGCGAGGGGCGCCCCTGGAGGAGGCGGCTTGCTGGGCTGGGTGCCGGCTGTAGGTGCGCGCGCCGCTGGAGGCCCTGGGGGCTGCGATCTGGCGGCCCCGCCAGGAGGAGCAGGACCGTGGGTGCACGGCCCGTCGTCGCCGATGGCCTGTCAGCACTTAGGCCTCGCTCCAGGATGCGTGCTGGAGGGCGTGGCGCTGGGCAACTTCGGGAGCGCGGCTGGGACCGCGCTCTTGCAGGTGCAGAGCGCGTGGCCTGGCGACGGCATGGGCTGCTTCGCGGGGGCGGTTATGGGCTGCAGCAGCGCGTCCTTGTGGCCCGCGCTGGCCGGTAGCTTCACCAGCCTGGGAGGCGCAGTGCTGCATCTGTGCACGCAGCAGGCGGGCGTGTGTGCTGGTCTGGTTCAGTGGCCTCAGAGGTCGGCGCTGCACGTGGAGACCTACCGCGTGCGTTCGCCCAGCGGCTTGACGGAGGCCTGGGTTCAGCAGCCTGGCGGAGCGAATCCTGGAGCTGCTGCAGGCGCGCCCGCTGCTGCTCTGCCTGGTGCTGCCCCTTTCGATCCTGGAGGTCCTGCGGCTCAGCCCACGCCCGCGGATCTGCATAAGAAGATCGTGGAGCTCAAGAAGCGCCTGCATCAGAAGCGGAGCATCGGCGAGACGCTGACGGACCGCGCCGAGGCTGCCTTGACAGGGAGCAAACGCAGGCGCCACGGCCGTCGTCGACGTCGTGGCGGCTCAGGTGGTAGCAGCTCCGAGGACTCGCTTTTTGACGGCGCCCCACACGTCGAATCAGGCCGCAGGATTGCACATCTAGCTCGAGAGGTACCTGGCGCCTTACTCTCCAGCGGGATGGAACATATCAAGAAGTATATTGCGCGGCGTGGGGGGGCGGACGGTCAAGGGGGCCTGGGCGAGCTAGCAGCATCAGGGGTGCAGTACATCACCAGCGTCTGGCACGGTCTCCATCCTCAGAGCGAGATGGGAGTCAGGAGCGTGCGCGAGATGAGGACAGTCGGCGAGTGCCTCGACGCCTTGCTTCGAGGCGAGCTGGGTCATCTTGGGGATCTCTCCATGCAGAGGCTGAAGGCGATCGAGCAGGCCACGAGGGACGGACGCTGACAGGTGGCGCAGCACCTCGAGCTTTGCGACGACTTGGGAGTGGGGCTCGCGAGGCAGGAGGAGGTACACGACGCGGTGAGCAAGCACAGGAGGATGCACGGCTTGGCGGAGAGCGTGGCCAAGGCCAAGGAGGGCGGCGGCAACGTCAGATAGGGGTCAGGCCGAGAGGGGGGTGGGCAGTCCAGGACACCCCCCTCTCAATGGCCAGCAGCCGCAGCCCCTGGCAAGAACCAGAACCAGAACGGCCCCCAGAAGGTCTCCTCCATGCTCTGCCGCGAGAAGGTTTCGAGGAAGTCACGCTGGCGCGCGGAGAAGCGGCGAGCAGCAGCCGCGATCAAAGCAGCTGGCGCCGCCCCCGCGAGCCCAGGCGCCGCCGCAGGGGGGCCAGCGCAGCCAGGCACGCCGCCTGCAGCGCCGCCCCCTGCCGCCGCCGCGCCGGGATCGCCGCGCGGGATTCCCCGCGGAGGAGTCAGCCCAGGTCCCGACAGGCGGACGATCCTTCGCCCACCGCAGCAGGGCAATGCCAGGCCGCCGTCTCCAGCACGACGAGTTCACATCGTGGAGGACTCGGAAGGGCGAGCGAGCTCGAGGTCGCCGACGCGGAGATCGAACCAGAGCCCACCGAGGAACCCCAAGGGCGGCAAGAACGCGAAGTTCAAGGGCCGAGGCAAGGGCAAGCCAGGCAAGGGCAAACCTGGGAAACGCCTCGGCAAGGGGAAGTCGCAGAAGTCGAAGGGCAAGCCGAAGGGCAAGGACCATCGATGAGCCCGCACTGCGTGATTGAGGTGAACTCCAGCGAGGGCGAGTCTGGCTGGTCGACCATTATGGATGCCGACGCCTTCGAGGAACCCTCCCCTGATTACTTTTCTTACATGCATGACGTGGAGCATGACGTCCACTTGGGCGCAAAGACTGACTTCGTGAATTCAATACCTTGTTCATCGGTCCTTGTCTCTGATTTTCCGCTGGAGCTCTTTGGTGCCTGTTTACTGCGAGAAGTTAGCCATACGTTACACCGAACCCTGACACGTTTACCCGTTTGTTCAGAAGACCGCGTTCAGTCACACCTGGCTCCTCAACGTTTACCCGATGTTACAGACGTTGATAGTGTACCTTCACTGGCCCCTCAATGTGCACCCGATGCCGTACCGATACTTAAAGTTTCACACCTGGCTCGTCAACGTTCTTCCGATTGTAGTGTGGTTGGCGACTGCTCATACCCGGCCTCTCAACGTTTGCCCTCCGACGCAGCACCAGCTCTGCCTCCTCATAGTCTTCGGAGCTTCCGAGACGAACTTGACACTGTCCCCGATCTTTATGATGGTTCACGACGCTCACCACCGAACGGTCGACGAGAGAGACGAGATCTACTTCCTCTCCCGATCGCGTTCGAAATTTGGGCCGCTCCTCTGGATCGTGGAGATCGCGCAGAGGAGAGCGGCTTGCTGGCCGAGGGCACGGAGGCTGAGCTGAGCTGGGTGCACGCCATCGTGACGGGCCTCAACTACCACTACGCGCGGAGCTGGTCTGCCGCCCCTGAGGCGCCACCGAGTGCCGTGCAGCGTCAGGCGCTTAGCAACTTGCTGTACGAAGTTCGAGTCTTCTGTGATCAGTGCTCGGGGCCGATACCCATCGTGGACTGGGAGTCGGAGTTGACCGCGGCGGCCACCTCATATGATGGCGAGGAGGTCTGCCCAGCCGAGCCGCTCGACAGGACGAGGTTGCTGGAGGCGCTGCCGCCGATCGATGCCTGCGCAACGGTCAAAGCCGTAGACGTCACCGAGGGCTGGATCCAGGCGGCACTGTCTGACCCCAGGCTCATCCTAAAGAACGTGGAGGAGAATTGGTGACCTGCCGCCGACGCCCAAGGTGTGGGCTTCCACTTCAGAGTGGGAGCTGATCGCGGGCGACCTCGTCACGCGTGGCATCCTGAAGCCCATTGAGTACGACGAGATCGTGGAGGTTAGAGGCCAGACAATCAGGGGCGGCATGTTCGGCGCGAAGAAGGGCTCCCACGTGAAGGGCGAGGGTCCCCAGAGATTGGTGATGAACACAATCCCGTCCAACTTCCTTCAGCATGCCATTGAGGGGGACATGCCTCTGCCCCCCCACGGCCACAAGTGGAAGAGCATCGTGCCGCGCTCATGGGATGTCTTGCTTTGGAGCGCGGAGGACCTGAAGTGTTGCTTCTACGTGTACAGCTTGTGCGACGCCTGGTTGAAGTACATGGCCATCTCCAAGCCGGTGCGGCGTGCCGTTGTCGGTCTCCCTGGCGAGGGGCTGGCGTATCTGGCGGCCGCCGTGGCCCCTATGGGCTGGATTTCGGCGACAGGAGTCATTCAGCACATCCATCGCCGTCTGCTTCGATCGTGGCATTCTCGGCTTCAACAGCTGGCTGCTTGCGAGGAGCTTCGCGAAGATGCTCCCATACCTCCTGCGCGTCGGGCTTCCCTTGACGGTGGAGCTGTGGCCCCTGTTCGGGGTCAGGTTGGCGAAACCTACGACGACGGCAAACCCGAGATCTACGTCGGCCGCGGCTCCTCGAAGCTGAACCTGAAGGCGTCCGCCTGGGGCAGCCCGCACCGCATGAGCGAGGGCTGTTTGCGTCAAGAGGTGGTCACCTTGTTCGAGCGATACCTGCACGAGAACCCTCAGCTGCTGAGGGATCTGGCATCTCTAAACGGCGCCCGCCTTCTTTGCCACTGCGAGTGTTCGCAAGCTTGCCGCGGTGACGTGCTGATCAAGGCGTGGAACGACAGATTCGGCTCGATGTCGGCGTGGCGCGCGTGGCAGGTCTACATCGACAACCTTGACGTGCTCGAGATCACCGATTGGTGGCAGGCGAACCAGCTCCAGGAGAAGGGCGTGAGCGAGCTGGCCCAGGTGGCGAGAGAGAGGTACAGGAGCTTCGGGGTGCCTCGGAGTGAGAACAAGGCCGTCATCAGGGAGGTGAAGTCGCAGTCCTTGGGGGAGGCGATCGACGGGGCTCAGGGCACCATCGGACCCCCCGCCCAGTTCGTGCAGCGTTTGGTCTCTCTCACCATCGAGACGCTGAAGAGGGAGTCTGTCACACAGAAGTGGATGAAGATCTTGGCGGGCCGCTGGGTGCTTTGCCTACTCTTCAGGAGGGAGGCGATGATGTGCTTCACCGAGCTGTGGCGGTTCTTGGTCCGCATCAAGGGCCAGGCTCCTCTGCCTGCCAAGGTCCGCGAGGAGCTCATCGCGGCTCTGACGCTGCTGCCAATGCTGCGCTGCGACCTGCGCGTGCCCATCAGCGGCCTGGTGATGGTGTCCGACGCCAGCATGCAGAGGGGCGCAGTCTGCCGTTCCGTTCTTCTTCGGCGAACTGGAGTTGCAGCGGCAAGAGCAGCGAGCAGGAGGCTCGTGGCGGACTTCCGCGACGAGGTGGTGCTGGTGTCCCTCTTCGATGGGATAGGAGGAAATTGGACCTCTTGGGTCTCGCCCCGGCGTTGTTCGTGTCCGCGGAGATCGATGCCGAGGCGAAGCGGTCGACAAAGTACGCGTGGCCCAAGGTGCTGGAGGTTGGCGACGCGCAGTCCTTCGGGCACGCTGAGGCGATAGCGATCAGGGACCGCGTGCCCTACATCAAGTGGATCCTCCTCATCGGCGGGGGCCCGTGCACCGACCTCGCTCGTATCGACGTGGAGCGCGTGGGGCTTCAGGGGAGGCGCTCTAAGCTGTTCTTTGAGATCGCACGCATCGGCCTGCTCTTGGAGGAAGTGCTGGGCGAGTTCTACCGGTTCTTGCCTTTGATCGAGAACGTGGCCTCGATGGACGCCGAGCCGCGCAACGTTATGAGCGAGCACCTCGGTCACCAGCCAGATCGTGTCGAAGCTGGTTGCATCGCGCACTGCTATCGCGACCGCTTGTGCTGGATCGACGAGAACTTGCTGTGCGAGTGGCAGGGTGACGTCTCCTTCTCCGACGGCGTCAAGATGATCCATGTGCCTGGGGGTCCTGGCCCGGCGAGGCGCTGGCTGAGCCAGGATCTCAAGTGGGCGGGAGACGCGGATGAGCAGTTTCGGTTGCCAACATTCCTGCGATGGATCCCTCGGCGCGCACCTGGGAAGTTTCCCACTGGACTACAACGTTGCTCTGAAGAGGAGCTTCAGATATGGCGAGATTTCGAGTACTGCTACGCGCCATACCAGTTTAAGGACGAGAACAGCATCGAGGAGCCCAACAGGGTGTTCAGATCACCCAAAAGCGTGGAGAGAGAGCTGCTTCTCGATTTCCTGCCGGGGCACACTATCGCAGCTCGGGTCACCAGGGCCAGAAAGCTGGAGAAGCACGAGCTGGAGGCGACTCGTTGCTCCCTGGTGGGCAACAGCTTCCAGTGCTTGGTGGTGGCGTGGATCCTGTCGCACTGGGCGGTGAAGTTTGGGTACTTGCACACCGTTCCCTCGGTGGTTGAGATGCGCGACTTAGGTGGCGGCGCCACGATCGAGGATGCCAGCGTCACCCTTGACGACGTCGGCCACGATGAGGGCGTGCCCATCAGGCAGCACAGCCTGGAGGAGCCGGACGCAGCGCTGGACCCGAGCATCGTGATCGTGGAGGAGTTGGCGCGTCGGGCTGAGGCTCGTGGCAGCGACATCAGGCTGGACACCTTCGAGGCGATGCGGCCAGATCTGTGGCCCGCTGGACCTGGCGCGCAACCGCCATCTGGGAGTGGAAGAGACCTTCGCACATCACGGACCTCGAGGTGCGAGCGACGCTGGGGGCTCTCAGATGGAGGTTTCTCTCTTCTCATCATTTACGTACACGGTTCTGTCATTTGATGGACTCTCAGGCAGGTTTGGTAGTGATCACTCGTGGTCGCTCATCTTCTTATCTACTGCATACCTCAGTTCGACGTATTGGTGCTTTGATCTTGGCTGCTCTGGCTCGCCCCGTGTATGCTGACACAGAGACCGACCGCAACCCCGCCGATAATCCATCGCGGGCGGCGGTGAGGTCCGCGCGGCCGCCAGATGCCAGTGCGTAGACCTCGGCGCTTGCGAGCGGCAGCAGATCAGGCCACACGTCGACACCTTCGAGCTGCAGTGGGGCGCCTCTCTCACGATCTGGTGCAGCCGCGGACGCTCGATCTTTATCACAGTGCAGTTAGACAGTTTTCAGATTGGGTTGCAAGCCGAGGCTTGACCTGGACGGGTGCTTCAGATCACGTTGACAAGCTTGACCTACTCGTGGCCGAGTGGACCGAGCGGCTCTGGACCGAGGGCCGCCCGCAAGGCCTGGCGGGCAACGCCATGTCGGCAGTTCAGTTCTTCCTGCGAAAGAAGCGCATCCTGCCAGCCTCTTGGCGACTGCTGCGAGCCTGGCAGAACCTCGAGCTGCCGCAGCGCGTTCTGCCTTTGCCCGAAGTGGTCCTGCTGGCGATGGCGGCCACGGCGAGAGGCTGGGGCCGCAATGACATCGCAGCGCTGCTCGTGCTGGGCTTCGCAGGCTTCCTGAGGACCACCGAGATGCTACCGCTGCGCCGGTGGCAGATAGCTGTCGACGAGGCTCGCGCCAAAATAGTGATCATTCTTCCGATCACAAAAAGTGGCTTGCGGTTTCATCGGCAGGAGTCAGTTGTGATTGATGACCCGTCAGTTGTGCAGCTTGCCAGTTTCTTGCTTCGCCATCTGAGTCCTGAAGCTCTCATCCTCAACTCGAGCATCAGTGATTTTCGTGACAAGTTTGAGCAGTTGTGCACTGCCCTCGAATGCCAGCAGTTTCAGTTCCGTCCTTGCAGTCTTAAACGAGGGGGGCCACATCGTATTTTGTGAGAACTCGTAATATGCCTGCCACCCTTGAGAAGGGTAGATGGCAGGATTTGGCCACTGCTCGTGTATAATAGCAGAAGGTCAGCAGGCCCTTTCAGAGGTGCAGTTCTCACCAGCATGCCATCAGATACTGTGTTATCTTGGCAGTCTGCTGGCCTACGATGTGGCATGGGTCTTTTCGGCGCAGCCGAAGAGGAGGTCGTGGAAGGGCGCTCTTGGGAGTTTCGTTGCCCTCTCAGTCGCGCCTTGCCTCGCCCAGCGCCTCTCTTCCCTTCGGGCTGCTGGCGGCCCCTCTCTGGTCTCGATCTGGTGTCCCGTGGAGGGTTTCTGGATTCAAAGGCTTCCGAGGGCCCTGCCTCGGATTCCGGGGGGGGAATCGGCCGCCCGGGGCTGGTGGCGCTGGCGAGAGGCAAGACGGGGCAGGGAGTTCAGTGGAACTCATCTGCTCCGTTTTCGGCCCGAGAGGCCACCGCTCCGCGACAAACCTGTGGCGAGCGTCGGCTGGAAGAACTGGGGTGCCCAAGCGGGGAGAGAAACATAATATCAGGTTCCTAATGTGTATTGTTTCGTGCCACGCTCACCCCCCCAGTCTGCTTGCGACGCGCGCCGCCTCGCCCGAAGCTTTGCGCTCCCGCCCTCGGGCCACCCTCATTGGAGGAAGAGCGCTCTTGGGAGTTTCGTTGCCCTCTCAGTCACGCCTTGCCTCGCCCAGCGCCTTTCTCCCCTTCGGGCTGCTGGCGGCCCTTCTCTGGTCTCGATCTGGTGTCCCGTGGAGGGTTTCTGGATTCAAAGGCCTCCGAGGGCCCTGCCTCGGGTTGCGGGGGGAAAATCGGCCGCTCGGGGCTGGTGGCGCTGGCGAGAGGCAAGACGGGGCAGGAAGTTCAGTGGAACTCATCTGCTCCGTTTTCGGCCCGAGAGGCCACCGCTCTGTGACGAACCTCTGGTGAGCGTCGGCTAAAAGAACTGGGGGGTCCAAGCGGGGAGAGAAGCATGTATATGTTTATGTATATGTCTAGGCATATCTATGCGTATGCGTTTGTGTATGTACGTATGTCTGTGTGGATGTATGCATTTATGTTCAGGATGCGTCAGGGGCCGATCGAACGGACAATGAGGTGGTGTACAGGACCACTCGGACGATTGTGGCCTGAGCTTTGCGGTCGGTGCATGGTCGTTCCTTGCGCGCAGCTCTGGGGTCAAACCAGTTGGGATTCCAGCCGCGCTTGGCCAGAGCCTGGGGGCACTCCGGCTGGTGACATGGGGCTGGGGATTTGCATGGTTGCGTCGCCATGCGTTTAGATGTGCACTGCTTTCGGAAGTGGACTGATGTGGCAGTGAACGGTGAGCAGGTTTCGTAAGCCATAGAAGCCGCCACCGCAACCGCAAGCACCAGCCACGCGACACCACCCGCCCAACTCGCCCACCGAACCGTCGACCCAACCCAACCACCACCACCACTACCACAACCCGAGCACAGAACAACCACCACTGCAGAACAACCGAACCTATATAATTCACGAGCTCACACCCACCTCAAACACATATGAAACTGACGCATGCAATGCCCAACATGTGATCGGCAAACCCACAACCCAAGCAATACTACACAAACGAACCAACAACCCAGCACACTGCCCGTAGCAGCAAACCCTACACTATGAAATCCCTGCATGTATAGCGCGCGCCCATGTCTTTAATCTTTTCTGCGTATTGAAGTCAGAGCATGTGGCTTCAGCGCGCTGTTGCTCGAGGGCGAAGAACATAAAGCCCAATCTGAACTCAAACGCACACACACACCATCGCCACAGGATGTGCGCACGCGTGCCCGCGCGCGCGCTTCCCCCCCCCCCCCCCCTGCCCCCGCCGCCAGGCGTACATGATTGTGCTGGGCTTCGGAGAGGACCGCTGCGTGCATGCGTCGGTCGACCTGCGGGTTTCCAGCCGCGCTTCGATCGACCGCTGCGTTCGGAAGAGGGCACTTTGGGGTGTGCGTTATGGCTGGGGCAAGGGGGTTATACGTCGGGCTTAATCAAGCGCTCGCACGGCTCGATCGCTGAGGATGTCCCAGCTGCGCTCGATCATAGCTGCGTTCGGAAAGCGGTCTGACGGTTCGGTGGCGGCGGGGTGATCATCGGGCGGGCGTGCGGGGCGAAGGGCGGGGGTGCGTTGGAGGGCGTCGGGGGCTTGGTGGCTGCGGATTGACGGGGATTCGGCAAAGGTGCTTTGGCGGGTGCGTCGACGGTGGAAAGACGCGGGTGCGTTGCGGTCGTCGGGCGGGCGGTGGTGGTTTCATTGGTTTGAAAGAATAACGAAATAAATATGGTGTCATGTTGGTTCGTTTTTTTCTTCATGGCTTGTCACCGCCATGTTTTCATATATATATATAGATATATGTATATGTGTGTGTTCGTATGTATATATATATATATAACACAACAGATATTTTTTGATGCGTTCATGTTGTTTCAAGTGTACCATTTGCTTAAATCATAAAACAATGTCCCCACCAGGTTTTTCCTCAATCATGTGTGTTTTTTTTCTCACATGTGTTTTCATGTTTTAGGTTTTCTTCAGGTGTTACGTGTTTTCCATGTTTCTTTCATTTGTCCATTGCTATGTTTTCAGGCGTGTCTATGTTTTTCATGTGGTCTCATGTGTTTCATGTTTTTTATGGTTTCTATGTTATGCCACTGTCATGTGTTTTGATTGTTTCTCCTAATCGTGTGTTTTCCATGCTTTGTAATACTTCTTCCATTTTTTGTACAAAATATATCAAACACATTTATTTTAATACTAGTTTTCATGTTTTTCCATTTTCACGCGGTTTCATGTTTTTTCCCCATCCTGTTTTTTTCCCGCGCCATGTGATTTGATGTGTTTTCATGTTTCCATGTTATGTTTTATAGTTGTTCTTGTGCTTCATGTGGTGTTCATTTATTATTATTATATATATATATATATGTCGTTCGCGCGCGCGTGCCCCATCGCCCCCCCGCCCCCGCGTGGCCGCCCTGGCCGCGCCCCAGATCGCCCAAGGGCCCCGCGCACGCCGCCCCCAGCCACCGCGATTGCACCCCATCAACCCAACTGCCTCCGCCAGCCTCGCAGCCCACCACGCGACGCACCAACCGCCGCCACCGCCAACACTTACAACCACCACCACGTCGCCACCACCACCACCGCCAGCCACCACCACCGCCACAACCACCACCGCACCCACCACCACCACCGCCACCGCGACCCACCACCACCGCGCGCACGTACGGTGGTACCATATATGCACTGCCGCTTCGGACCAGCGCGGCCCGCGAATTTGGGCAACAGGTGAGGCGCCGCGCTGGCGCCATGCCCCCGAAGCGCAAGAACGCTGACCAGAAGGCCCCCTGTCCAGAACTGCCCCGCTCGAGTCTGGAGGGGTCCTCGATCACCCCCCATGTGCGCGCGTCGATTTCGGCGCGCGTGCAACTCGAGTTGCGCGCGTGCCGAAGAAGTCGACGCCCGATCGGGCGGCGAAATCTACGCATGTGCGGGTGCCCTGGTCAGGCCCATCCTGGGCCGAGGATATATGCATATGCATGCGCAGCTGCATATGTATATATATACATATATATGTATGTATATGTATATGTGTGCGTGTGTATATAAACATATATACATGGCACGCCATGCCCAGGGAACAGTGGATATGTATAGATTTCGTCTCCCTGAGCTCGGGGGCTAGAGGGCTTGGGAGGCGATGGGGGTGCTTGCGCCGCGCCCTATCGGAGGCGAAGGCGGCGGCTGCGCCGAACACTGACAAGCTGAAGCGGGCCAGGGAGGCGAACGCAGAGCACGAGAAGGCGCCGCCGCGTTTATGGCGCCCTGTGTATTTCATGATTTATGAGCAGGTGGGAAGGAGGAATAGGTGGGAACATGTGGGAAGGAAAGGAGCAGGTGGGATTGAAGGGAACATTTGGCGGGCAGGAGGAATGTTGCACTTGACCTGAGCAGGCTGGAAGGGGGGGCGGGGGAACGGAGCGGATGAGGAGGCGAGGGAAGGATGACAAACCAGGTTGAGGAAAAGGAGAGGATGAATTAAGGAATGATGAGGACATGAGGATCGAAGGAGGAGTGATGGACATTCGAGGGGCGAGGACCGAGGAGAATAATGGAGGGATGGGGACGAGGAAAGACATGAGGGGATGAGGATCGCGGAGAAGAAGGGGGGATGAGGATCGAAGGAGGGATGAGGAAGGAAGGAGGATATCACCACCCCAGGTGCCACGCCAAGAAGACGAAGAGGGAGCTCCACGGCGAGTTCAAGAAGCTCAGCCAGGAGAAGAATGACCACTGGCTGCGCCGCTGGCAGGAGACAGGCTCGACGAGAGGGCTCTGAGGAAGGAGGGGTCAGTCTCAAACATATTAGGAAGAGGATGGGACCAGATAAGGAGTTACCTGATGAAGAAGGATGAGGAAGAGAAAGGTGAACGGGGTGCGGGGGAGGGCGAGGGGAAATAATATGATGATGAATACGTCGATGATGAGGATGAGTGGTCGAAGGAAGAACGATGAGGATGAATGAGCGCGAGGGAGAAGAAGAATATGAGGGGGAAGACGGATAACGATAGTGATCATATACTTGGCATCGCTCGGACTTGCGCAGTTTTCCTTTGGCGAGGGCCATCGAGGAGCACCCTTGATCACTCGGCGAAAACCACGCACGAGACATAACAAAAACGCAGGGAATGGACGTCCGAGCGATGGCCAGTATAGCATGAGCGATAGGCAACTTCGACTTTGTCCAAGTCGAGAAGCAGGAGTGCGAGGAGAGGCTCCGGAGCAGCGGCCATGAGGACAAGTGGCGCACCGAAGACGCCGAAGACGAGCTGCTCGTGAATTTCGGATGCAACGCAGCCTTGCCCGACTGTCCAATGTCTGCGAGGAACCGCTGTTGTTTTTGTTTGTTTGCCTGGCG